TTTTTACAGATATTAAAATCTGTAAATTAGAATATCTGATTCTATATTCTTTCTAGATTAAAGGAGCGTTCATTTCGTTCGTTTATCATAAAAAATGTAGAAATCACACCATTTTTAGAAACATGCTTACAATTTCATTGCTCTAGAAGGGCGGGCATTTAAATAAACTCCGTCCAGCTGCCCCTCCCGGAAATTAAATGGCCCGTCCGATAAAGGTTAAACAGTTTGGTTTATTGATTGATCTGACCTATGCTTATTTTCATAGCATGTGTATTTCAGTTACTAGTCTGTGACTAGTTCTATATCCGTCAGGCGTATTTGTAGCCTAGATTGGATCAACGGACTTTTACAATGGAATAAAAAAAAAGAAGGAAGTATATCCTTTTCAATACTCGTAAGAAGACAGAATTTATTGTCAGATAATGGAGTTTTAACAGCTAATGTGGCACCCACTGCTTGTTCAGTAACCATACTTACCCAAAAATATCATAAAAACTTTCTTCTCTTGACAAAGAGGGTGCTGAGTTCTCACTTGCTGTCCCATCTAGCTGGAGTGCTGACAGCATGCTGGCAGTAATATGTGTCTCCAACAGCCTTTCGCGATGGAAAGACACTGGTGTTTCTTCCACTTCAACAGCCATTTCTTCAACAGGTTCAGGAAGAGGTTGCAGTTCTCCAAGCTTTGCCTTTGGCACAACATGCCTAAAACCCATGTTCAATATTGGAAAGATGCCAGTTTAAAAGGGTGAAAGTCTGCCCAAACTATAAAACACTCACTCACATAAGCATGCATGTGTGCACACACACACAATGTATGCATATTGCAATAAGTCAAAATAAAAATGCTGAACAAAAATATAATCACACAGCTGAATTGCTTATCCCACAGGTATGCCAGAATTACTTACAAGCTTCGTCTTGATGGCTTCAGAGACATGATCCCAAAGCTCTTAAAGTCAGTATACACAGAGCTAACTGTGTCGCCCAAGTGGTCCTGGAACAAAATATTTACATAAATAGAAATCTGAATCACAAAAAAAGAAAAAAACACACACAAATTATTCATCACATAGCATCAGGCTCACATCAGGAATGATCTATAGGAGACAGTTGGCATTCAAACACCAAATAACAATATCTACATTTAACACTAAGATATGAAAATTGGCCAAACTTCGTTTTTATTACAGCTTCCTCAGAGACAGACAACCAAAGGATCCTTCTTTTATATGACAGAAATACTGACTTTATATTTAAAGTCAAAAGAGCAATCAATCTGACACTACTGTATACAAACAGTCTCTCAGTTCTATATGATAACAGGAGTCAAACAGCATGTCTTACAACCTGTTAATGATTTAGATGAATATACTGATATGTGGATAGATTACATACATTCCATGGGTCCCAGTTACTTATGATGTCACAGCTTTCTACAAACTACACAGTTTCATTTTTAGTAAAGCTTACGATGGGGTACCCAAAAGAAACCGAACTAATTTTTTTGTGGGCAGAGCTTTTGTAGTACCGCGTTTTGCCGCTATGAGCACATAGAGCTAACATTCCTGAGTCGATAAGCCGACTACCGTTGCTTCAGAAGATAAGGACTAGTTTCAGCAGAGTTTATAGTGACAACTGTTTTGTGTGATCGTCGTTTTTGCAATGGCTGATTTTCGTCAACAGCGTGCGGTGGTGAAATTCTGTTTTTTGCTCGGGAAAAATGGAAGTGAAAGTCTTGAAATGTTAAAACGGCGTACAAGGACGATGCTATGGGGAAAACTCAAGTGTTTGAGTGGTTTTCCCGTTTCAAAAA